TATGAGGATCAGTGTTAAGAGCACTAGGGTGATGAATTCAGTAAAAGGCCTGGTCATGAATTCACGATCTTTCTTCAAGAATCGCCCTTTAACTATCTTGGGTGCCTTATTATACAGGACGGATCCTGTGAGAAAGATTTTAGATCAAGAATAGCCTGAGCAAAGAGCGCGTTTACTAAAAGAAAATAACTGCTGGCAAAAGCATTCAGCCTTTGCCTGAAGAAGAGAATTATAAAGACTGTCGTCTGGAATACTCAGGGGCACCCGACGAGGATATAGTTCAAAACCAGTTAACATAGCATTGTTGAACGTATTTTAGTATTTAAACGGTAGATATAGGCATATTTTTTATCCCCTAAAAACTTTTCATCTGTTCGGATTTCCTAGCTGAAAGTCTAGTGATCCGAAAATTATAGGGATCAAAACTTACCTTTTCGAAAATTTCAGCCAGGCAAAGGCTCCCGAAAATTCTAGGTGGCCTTTTTTGGGGTAAAAGAAGTAAATTTTCCAAAAACTTCTTGCACAGGCAATCAGCTTGCAAAAAACCAACTGGCTCTTACCATATTTGGAAGATGCTAGCATCGATGCGATGGTGCGTTTGATTTGAAAAGAGGCTGACCGATGGTCTATTTGATTAGAAACGAGGCTGCTTGGGTAATGGTGAACTAAAAAAATGGTGTTTACAGCTATTCGCCTTCGAAGACAAAATACAGTCAAAGCTCTCCTTGCGACTACTCTCGTCAGCGACCAGCTCTAGTTACGACCACCTTTCAGTGGCGTAGAGTAAACATTTTGGTACGTACGAACACGGGTCCACATGGTCTCAAAAACTTCGTACAAAATAACATTTTTGCTTACCTTTAATACATATCTCGGCAGTTTACAGCCTTGTTTACGATAGGACGTGATATCAAAAACAGCTTTTCAAACATTTTTCTTTGAGCTCTTACTGGAATGTTTACAATCACAAGGCGAGGCACCTCCCCTTTTGTTACGCAAATTAAGTGACCGTGACGTTATCAACATTAACATCTTTGTGTTTATGAATATGTTGTGATTCAATTTCATCCTTGGTTCAAATTTTATTTCCCTTTGTTTTCGGGTATGGTAATGTATGATAATGAGTTTAAAACAAACAAACCAAGGATAAAACTGAACCACAACATATATGTAAAATCGCCGAGGATGAAAGTCGCTCATCTGTCATCGTATTACGTAGTGAAGTCTTTAGTCTTTTCATAGCTGAAACTGCACTCAACAGCGCAAGCCGAAATAGGGAAAGTAAGAAGTGTTGTAACTGCCACATAAATTCCTTCATAGAAACCGGCATTGGTTTGATCAAGTGTTTCTACAAGAGTCTCTGGAAGGGGATCATCAGGTGGCCCGATTGACCAGTGGTGCCTCCATTTTGTAATCTCTTGTTTGAAGTCAGTGAGATCCATTCATATCGTCTCCTTAGTATTTGTGAATGGACTGCACTTCCGCTCTAATTCATAATACTTTTCTTTCATAATTTATTTGCTTATTTAGTAATTGTCTGACAATTATATAAATAATGCAAATAAATTATTTAAAAAATGTCAACTTAAAAACGACCCAATAAATTTACTTAACTAACATCTATATTTATAGGTCATACTTGCAGTAAGAAGTTGAGCGTTGAGTTGAATCCAGGTAGAGGCGCTACTAGCGTTTCTTGTATCTCATTCACCAGGTGATCTAAAAATGCCAAATACACTGTACATCGCTCTTTTCCAGTATACTGGAGGGGAGTTTGCTCCCATGTTGTTGCGATGCTGTTGCCTTACTGTTGGCATGGACGGTTCAATATCGTACCCAGAAATTTGGAGTTTGAAAGCATCGGTTAGAAGAATTGCGGCGTGTGCGTGTTTGTGTGACTTTTGACTGACTGCTGACTTTTGCGTTTTTCCCTTGTTTCGATCAATAGAAATGCACTTTTTTATTTGAGTGTCAATGTATTTATCACGAAAGTACTAATTGGGGACACTATATTTTACGTCTCCAGTTGGAGACGGGACCGCCATTTTACGTGGTCATCCGAACCACGCGAAGGTCTACCCGTTTGCAGTGCAAAGGGAGTACATTCATTTCTCGGTTATTTTAAGACCCTGAGTATTGGTCCGGCGTCAAGAATCGAACCCGCGACCTCCCGCTCTGCAGTCAACACGCTCTACCGACTGAGCTAACACTGCCGCGGTTATAGTCGATTATAGTCAGCATTTATATATTTTCAGTTGCTCTGAATATCTCCAATACCACATCTATTCGCTAGGAGTAAAAGTTCTGCAAAATTCTTATTGATACCGCCCCTCATGTGCACTGCGTGCACCTAATCATTTGTAGTTTGCTTCAGCTTGCTTGGATTAGCGTCGGCATGGTCGGGTCCATGCCCCAGTTAAGCGACATTAAAGTAGTACTTTGATAGACTTTTTAGACATTTATATAGAGAGAAAGAAACAAAAAAAATTTGCTTTTGATTGGGAAGACTTTGAAGATAAATCTTGAAAGGAATGATAATCAGTCAGGGTCGATTTTTTGTTGCGACAAATGTGTTTGCATGAAGTTCCCCAGTCTCCTTTCGTTTCTCATGAATACGCAATGAATTGTGGGATCGTCTGGAGCAAGCATTTCAAGAATGGTTCGAATTTATTATATTCCACCACTTAAACTGTCGTATTTTTCGAGTAAAAATGATGTGTATTTGTGTAAAAAATGGAGAAGCAAAAAATAAAAACTGAAACCTCAACAAATGGCGAAGTGAAAATCAAAAAGTTAAAAACAAAAGTGGAAAAGTGAAAAATAAAAACGAACGCACTCTGTGACCCCCCTGGGGTTTAGTAGATAGAAAACGGGTCGGACTCGCCGGACGCTTTGCCGCCATTTTGGAACATTCTGGGCAACTGAAAAACCCTGGGCTCGAATTACTGCAGAGTCCTGGGTGTTTGTCTGGTGAAATAATGACTCAAACGAAGAAAAGAAAGGCAACTGAGACAGCAAGAGGCTATAAAATGTCAAAGCAAGTTTATAAAGCTGCCGTCAAATCAGTGTTGCTGTCAGTGATGTTTTCGAATACTCTATTTCAAAAAAATAGTACTTATCCTTGGGTCTATTTTTCTTGCGGGGGCAACGTAAATTTTTTGCGGCATTTTTTTCCAAACAGCGGAAATCCCGCAAGGCCGCTCTCTAGAATAACCCCTGGATTATATGCTCCCCGAAGGGAATTTTGGCTTCCTTGAAAGAGATTATTCGCTGCCCGAAGGAGAAATGACTCTTCATTAGGTTTTGAGACCGCCGCACGGCAAACTTATCACTCGATCGCGCTTTGATGGAGTCATACATTTTCTGGAAAATGGTAAACTGAATTCTTTGCTAACAATTTTTATATAAATGCAAAGACAGCTACGCTTGATTCTTACCCTTAAATGCCGTTTGAACCCTGACGACAGCGTCAAACGATTTAAGAGCTTTGAGAGCACATGGCAAATCGAAGACTTTATTGACTATATTGTTCTTAGAGTTTTTTAAAATAAGTACAGGTTTTTAAATTAATTCAAATATATTATACTTCTGATAAATTATTATTGTAAATCTTTTTTAGCGATCTTGAGGAAGGTTTTTATTGTTATAATTTACATCTTTTAGTGGTATGTCGTTAATTTAAGTTATTGCCTTTGAAAAGCCTCTGTGAGGAAAGTCAAGAAAGTATGTACGTATGTACAGTATTCATTCGAATAAGCGCCCAACCTCGAATTAGCGCCCACCTCCAATAAGCGCCCATCCTAAAGGCAAAAAAAAATTAATAAGCGCCCACCTCGTTCAATAATTGTAAATAAATTTACGGAGGGGAAATAGTAAACAAGCTAAGTGAATAACAAACACCCTAAGTTACGACTCCGACAAGCCGTGGTGTGAAGGCAACATTTACGTAAGAAAATTAAAAGAAATACCAGCCCGTGTAACAGAACAAGCACACGTTTTTCAGTTTAATGGGAAAGTTCGCAATTTTTTTGCCAAATTTATATTTTTGAGAAACTCACAGTAAAACCCCAATATAACAAGCCTCTACATGGTCAAACCTGTGTACAACGGTCTCCGTTAAGAAATGGCAAGGTAACTGTTATATACAGGGTGACCACTGTATACCAGTCAACTTTGCAGAAAATATAAGGCAACTGAAAATTTTGGGAAGTTGTCCGGCGACCGTAATATCCAGGGTGACCGCTTTATACAAGGCCGTTATTTACAGGATTGACTGTACTTAAGCATTTTACTATTCCTCCTCCCCCTCTCCCGTAAATTCTCTAAATTCTCTAAATTTCAGTTACGATTGAAATGAAAAGACAAACTTAATGTAGCGCAAAACTTTGAAACGGAACAAGACATTCCCACGATGGCGCCATTTGACTACAACTAACAGAATCCGTCAGGGTTCACGGTTCTTTTACATATAAAGGCATTTGTTATTGAGACTTGACGGGATTACCCGAGAAAGCAAAGACAAACTGAATCACTGGAGGTTGTAGTCACGTGACATCACGGTGAAAATGACTTACTTTAATCAAACGGAAAATGTACATTTATCATCATCGTCGTCGTCGTCATCACCATCATCTGGCTGCCGAGCACCAACCAAATTTTGGTTCTTTGCAATTATCGGTAATGTCCAGAAATTATTACGATCCAGTTTAGGCTGAGGGTCTGTATGATTGGCCCTGACTGACAAGAAGTTCCGGATATGATTATGTTAGTGGATGGCCGGCTTTGTCGCACCTGAGGACTCGCCGCCCTTTAACAGGTCTTGTTTTTAATCCTGAGGGGTGTCCACTCACCCTTCTCACCAGGTGTAACCGGTGGAGGAGCCGGTTTAGTCGCCGACTTTCCGACCATGAACAGGTAGTACTGGTATACATGTTAACCAATAGCGGCTCAACCCATTTGAACCGACCTGACCAACACCTTTCCACAACGGTTCGCGACGTCTACAAATCTGATGTATCTACAAAAATTTTTAGAAACAGGGTGTCGTCCCGAATATAAGCGTGGTTGTTCAGTTCTGTGAGCGAGCAGAACATAGGACAACCACTTGCGATGTTTGTCTCTCTCCTTGGTCGATGAAAAGATGAGCTGTTAGGATCAGGTCTGAAGGCATCGATCACGTGTTCAACATTATCTTGATCCAACAACATGAATGTGACCTTCTGTCTGAATGGCCAGCGGAGCAACGCATCATACTGACCGCGCATTATCACGAAAAACACAGAGATGTGTGTTCCTCGGCCCATGCCATCACCGTTTAAATATATGCGGGCGCACATCTTGTATCCATAGCGACTGGTGTAGAAGCAAGGGCTGTAGAATGATATTTGTTGACCGCTGACTGCCTCGTTTCTCCTGCGTGCAAACTCAGTTATTTTCCACAGCAACTGGCCATCGTAGCTTGAAAATTCCTGTTGCCTGATGTATTCCTCCAAATCAGCCAAGGTGACGTTTCTAAGAGCCAGTGTATGCTCAATAGACTCAATCCTCCTTTCCACCCTTCTGACGGTCTCCTGGACAGTCTCAACAAGTCGCCTTACATTACCCACATCCCGATTTGCCTGCTCGATTGAACGATTACTTTCAACCAACAGCACCTCGTGGTCCGCGGTCTTGTTCTCAAGATTGTTTACCCTTCGGGTAATCTCGATGTTCGGTACACTGCCAGCTGAATCACCAGTCACTTGAGCAGATGGGGCCGCTGCCGTGAGATTCCCTGTGGCCACTTTTCTTTCCAGGGAGGTGATTCGTTCGCTATGTTCTCGTATTCTTTCTCTTAAATCCCCGTTTTCTGCTGTACTGGATTGAATTTGAGCGAGTATGTCAGAAATGATACCGTCATAGTTTGTGAAGATATGTGGGCTTCTCGACAGGATTCTTGGATCACGAGTTAACACCGCTTCCATTTCTCGACCCATCCTAAGACCATGATGAAGTAGCAAAGTGGTGTGATAAACATTCTCATTCTGCAGATGTTCTTTCTTTTGCATATGGCTGAGAATCTGTTATACAAGGAACAAGAATTTTGCTCTAAACAGACATGCAAATCTAATTGGGGACACTAGACATGTAACACTTGTTTAGGGTAATTGTACAATACACAACAAGGTCGGACAACCTTGTAACGAATTTGAAGAACGAGATATAGAAAACATGTTTTTTATACAATGACCTGTAGATAAATTAAGAAAAATGGTTTATTTTAAAACCTGATAGTTAATGTGAAAAATTCTACCATATTCCTCTTATTTCATGTATACAAGGTGTTTGTCGCGTAACGATAAACCCAACGTACAATGACCTTGCCTACCATGAGTAGTCTTGCCGTATACAGCAGATGGCATTTCCGACCGGCAGAGTTTTAGTCAGGATATTACAAAGTGAACGTATCGTGGCCAAGGGTGCCACCTCTGAGAACTTCTGATGGAATGCCCCCCACTAAGAAAACTTTGCAAATATTAAGCGCCTTACGTTAACTCACCAGTTCTAAAACAAAGATGGATAAAATCAATTTTTGTCGAAAAACCTAAAGGAAAATCAAATGCTAATGTGCCTAAAACCCTATCAACCAGTTTCTTGGACGTAATGGGTTCGTATCCTGGTGATAATATATAGAATTAACCAGGACTAAAGGCGAAGCTCTTGTTAATACGCTTACAGTTAGCTCAAAACAAAAGATAAAATCGTTTAATGCTAAAAGGGCGAAGGCAACGAGAACGGCAAAAAGAAAATCCATAGGTCTAATTAGCACGTGCACCCCATTTTTTTGTACATTTCTTTGCCGTTGCTTTGCACGACAACAACGTGAAACTTCCCAGTAACACGTTTTATGGAGTTCAATGTCGTGTGTGCTTACAAAAAAATTTTGTTGCCTGTGTTCTTGTTCGCTTTTTTCTTCACTTCCGCCCATTTTCACCCTGCCGGTAGCCAGCATTTCTCATTTTCTAACCGCCATGTTATTCTAGTAAAGAAATTCGATGCCTTTTCTTTTTTTTTATCTCTCGCTCTAGTTCTTTCTCTGTTATCCACAACAGTAAGGACATAATTATTATTTAGTCGAAAAAAAGACTCGGCTTTGTTGCTTTTTTCTCTCTAAATGTACGGGTGGCCATGCGATTTACCGCCAAAGCTCGCTGGTGCTTGAATGCGAAATTTCACCCCGACATACATTTAGGGGGTGGACGGACGTCGGACGGTCACATGATTATCAAAATTTCTCACAACTTTAGGTTACCATTTCTTGGGAATTCTGCACTATAAAGCTCTAACCTTACAATAATCCAGGAAAGCTATCCACTGATTGCAGGGTAGAAATGAGTTGAATGATGGATCACCTCATCGTCCCTTATCCTCTCCACCCTTTTTTCCCCTCGCTTTCTATTTTCTCAAAGGAAACGGGAAGTACGTGACAACCAGCAAGTGATTCAAGCGCGAAACGCGACATTGCAGGAAGCCGGAGGTAAGAGTGGGGGCACCGCTCTGCTAACTTCTAGTTGTTAGGATGAAGGCGATGTACTAGTTTGGTTTAAGAATCCAAGTGAATACTTTTTAGTATTGTATTGCTTTTGCTTCCGATTCAGCCACGTGTTTATTTTATTCCGCGCGCTCAATGGATAAACATTCGAGAACAGCGAGGGATGTAAACAGTCCACAATTTCGGTGCTTTGGTACTCTTCAAGAGTAAAGCTTACAGATCCTGAAAACACTGAAAGAGAGGAAAACTTATAATTGTACCTGGGTTCTTGAGCAGCCAATTTGTGCGAATGGACATGGCCCCTGAACTGCATCACAGTCTCCTACAACTTGATCCTGATGGTCTAGCAGCTGAAACATTAATAGAGAGGAGTCAATGAGAAAACAAAGAAACAAGAGTCATGAGTGCACCGTAAGTCCTTCAAAATATCCTATTTAAATAGCTATAACTAGTGTTGTCTTCGTCGTACACAGTTCCATTAAATTAACGACAGACTATCAACATAATCCTCTCTTGGGTGGGTGGCAATGGGCTTTTCAGATTTGCAGTTTGCGCAAATTTCTACGTATTCTCTTCAACTTCACCTACCTTTTGGCACGACACTCAACCAGTCCTGGTGGAAACAAGTTTGCAGATAAGAACTTTGTACAAGTGCAGTATAATAGATTAAGTAGTATTTATACCTACGTTTACCATACCACACTAATAAGGCGTTCAGAGTCAAGACAGAAAATAAATTAAGTAACAGACTCCCCCTAGCTTCTGATCATAAAAATTACGTCAGAGTTCAGTTGAACCAGTTGAAAAAAAAAAAACATGTACCCCAACTGTACCTTTGCACGTGGAATTCCATCTTTGTTACATTTATCACATACAACTGGGTATGCTGGACACTCCTTCTCATGGTGCACCTGTAGCATATACATGTATATTAATTAACTACTTATAAATACAAGCACGAATGTTTGTCTTTGCTTTGTTTTGGTTTTATTTGTTTGGTTGGTTAGGTTGGTTGCTTTTTTGGAAATTTTAATATCTCGCACTCTCATTTTGAGATTTATAAAAAATTGGCTTTATCTTCTTTAAGCCGAGTGAGCGATACAAATAGAATGACGAGACACCGGCATCCCAAACTCACTAAGAGAACACTTGGCAATACATTCAACTCTCAGGAACGCAACGATTTGTAGAGTTCACATGGCAAACAATCCTTACCTTTGTTGTGAAAAAAGGAATTAAAATGAACTTACTTGTGCCAAATTTTGCGTTCTTAGTTTTACCATTCTGTCTTAACAGATTCATTAAAAGATAAAGCAGGTTTTCAACTGGAACAAGCCCAGATTGCTTCAAAACGACATGAAAACTTTAATATAAGCACAAGTACACTGCACTAATGATAATTTGATTTCGTTTCTCCACAATAAGCTAACTTAAGGCGAATTTGTTTTCTTTTTATTTTTACTTATTTTAATTATGAACCCTATAAATCGTTGCGTTATGCAATAACAGCTTAACTTGTATTTTACCATAAATTATTTCCAGTTAGAATTGATTTTCAAAACACTTTGCTTTCCAGACAAGACCGTCACAATGTTCAAAAGTTGGTTTTATAGAGTGATTCCTGAATAAATCTCTACCCATTTGATAACGCATTGTTTACCTAACAGTACTCTACACTTACACCGACTTACTGGGTAGAGATTTAACCAGCACAAATGAAGGCCTGGCAATGAAAACAACCAACCCACATATCCTTTTTTTTTTTTTAAGTCAAGTTGACATTCCACATTGCTATCAGGCTGTACATTTCATTTCTTTTTAATCATAATGTTAGAATTAACCCATCTGCTGCTGAAAATTTTTGCCGAAAAATGCTCAGTTTTTGATCGGTCGACCTGTATTCCGGCTAAAAAAAAACAAAAACGCCAAAAAAGCTGTTTATAAGTTGAGTAACTCACGGCCTTCTTTTTCTGATGCTAAATAGCATCTTTCAAAGTACCGTATTTCCTCGATTCAAGGCCGTCCTCTATTAAACGCCACACGGATGGAAGCGTTTATTCCAGGATTATAATAATAAAAAAACTTTAAATCTTGGTAGTACAATTCTATCTCAGCAAAATAAGCACAACGTTAGAACTTTAAATTACGTTTAAACATTTCCAGATGATTTACAGTAACTGTTGTCAGTGATTTAAAAAATGCAATTTCGAAATAAACGCCGTCCTTGAATAAACACCGCAGGGGTAAAACTGGGCCTGGGTAATGGAAATTTCTACGCAAAAATTAATATTCATCTAGATGTTTACAACTGTGTTACAGCTAAAAACTTTAAGAATACAAACTGTACAGCTGTAGTTGTGTGTACTTATTGTGCTATGCATAAATACCTTCATTTTGTTCAGGCTGATTTGCTTTTTGCAGAAATCACAGGTTTCCGGTTTACACTTGCACTCTGTTTCCAGGTGCTGAGAAAGATCAGCTTTTTTCACCAACATGCCACACTCAGGATGTACACAGGGAAGTTTGACAAACTCACAGCTACTAGTATGACTCTGTAAAAAAACAAAGAGAATTTTAAAAGAAATAATACAAAAAAGGCCTTTAAATGTTTAGCACTAGTACACAAAACAGCAATTTGACTTGAGATTACTTTCACCCTCAGACTCAAAAGGTAAATGTATGAGAGCCAACAAACATAACTCCATCATTTAAAATGGGAGTGACATGGACACTTTAGAGATCAACTCATCAGTTGATATCAGAACAAAACCTTGCTTTCACTACGAGTAGACCAACACAACACGTCTTGCACAGAAACTGATCCATTAGTTTTCTGTAAAAAGTAATTTTAACGCTTTAAGGTGTATAATCGCATACTCACAGTCCAGCTAAAGTCTCCTAATTGGCAGTTTTGACTAAATTTTGATCTTAATAATCCTCCTGCCCTCCCATTGCTAAAATGTTATGGGCTATCCTCTGCCTAACTTTGCAAGGTTTTACAAAACATGTATTTCTAGTTAATTTTGTATTAACATGTGTACATGAAGTCTTGGCAAAAACTGGTTGATGTCATATAACAGCAACTAAAATCCTGTATATGTAAAACCAACAAATACCCAGGACTGTGCTCTAGCAGAGCCTGGTGGCCCCTGGCACCTTACTTTTCCTCTTGGGCGACTAGAAAATCTCTTGTGCTGGGCACCCCAAATTTTAAAGATTTAGAGCACTGGGCTCCCTTCAATTTTCCTTAGAGCACAGCCTTTCTTGATACCTCCAAATGCCTGACTTCCCCTTTCCACTGGCATCCATCATCCATGAATGTGCAGTTGACAACAAACGCTTGTACTTCACGACGCATGAAATTATCAGGAAAAACCTAAAAACATGATATCAACAAAATTAAGAATTGATCAACCCTGTGTCAGCTACTTTAACTGTATTATAGCTTTGAACATATATAGCTGACTCTTGGTTTTCTGCCAACAACTATTAGAGTTAATGGCCTTTCACAGAATTATATTCAGTTTCCCCTAAAACTAAGGTCTCATGAAAATGTTATTTTACAACTCTATTACAATAAAATCAGAATAATAGTAACAATGATGAATTATAACAATTACCTCATTTGGAAGAAGTTCCACCTGATCCTGTGAGCACGTCATCACGGATGTTCCATTCCTACATGTAAGTAAATGAGACCAAGTTTTTGTGCACGGCTAAAACTTAAACATTTTTTTAATACTGTAAAAAGAGTAGAAAAATACATTTTGTTTTGTGGTTAAAACCTTTTAAATTAAGGCGCGGTTGCTTAATTATTACAACATGTTATTATAACTTCTGTGTTAATAGATAATTACCATGCATGCTTAAACTACATGAAATAACAGAGGAAATGGTTCAAATTTTCAAAATATCACTTTTTCAGAATACTGCAGTTAATGCTGATTGTACTACGTAAGAATTTGCAGTCCTTTGTGGTTAATGTTTGACTGAATATTTGCATATTTACCTCCTTAATCAGGCTAAGTAATTACTGATTATTTGGACATTGCCCAAATAGAGTAATTGAGATTGCCTTTTTTGATTCAAAGTTGCAGTAGGCATGCAATACATCCGAACGTAAAAATACCAAGTAAGCAAGCCAAGTGATGTGAATGTCTGCCACACAAACGACTCATACAAGGTGCGTGCTGGAAAGAAAGCTCTGCTAGCAGGGTACTTGATTTCACCTTTACCATCTCAAAACTCTTGCAACAAAGAAACATGAAACACAATTCCCAACAGTGCAGGACAAAGAAATAGCGATGAACATGTTAAAGCAACGCCTCCTGAGTCTGGACCATATATACTCGGCACACATCCCTATTATTTTTAATACACATAAAAAACTTCACATATGCATATAGTACAATGATGCCCAAATATATGTTCCCGCAGCATCTTGTTACCATATTTATAATAATTAAAGAAAACAGAGAATTGAACAAAGGATTAAAATAATATCGAACCCTGCCAGCTGCTAGCTTAACTTTTTTAGTTTGCATGACATTATGACCCAAAAATAAAATGAAACATGGGATAAATGCTGTAAAGATATCTGCACATTTCTCTTTTTCATTATATTAGTCTAGTCAGCAGAGGTCAAATTCTTCATATGCCGTGTTGTCTGCCTGTATATTGTTAACAGACAAATGAGATGTCCTAGAAATAAGCATTATGGTAATTATAACAGTATAAACACTAAGCAGTACACTGTAAATTGGATTATGCTGTCTGTTTGAGTAAATGATCATAATGTATAATATATAAAAATTATGCAGTCTGACAAAACATCAATGTAAAATTTTTTATTATGACATAAGATCTGCAAAAAAAAAAAAGTACACACTCTCTCAGAAATGATCCTCATCACTTTCTTTTCAATATACAAAACTCTGTTCCAATACTAAGTCAATCTGAAGAGAAGATCGATGAAGATTCAATTGGCATTCACATATAGATTTAATCACTCAATAATAGTAATTAAGGTATTATGATAACATACATACATGTCTACTCTGTGACCTGTCTGACTTTAATACATACTGCTTTCAAAATAACTGCAGTCGATTTGCTTCTTGTGGAGCCAATAACTGAAAGATGCCAGACAGTACATCATGCAAAAAATGCAAACAATTTAAACAAAAAAACACCAGGAGGGAAATACACTCAGCATTTAATGGCTTTCAACAATCAAAGACTACAGTGTACATGCATCTAAAATGTATATTGGCAAAGCTTTTTCTAACGAAAAAAAGTAAATTATTCTTAGATGCCTCAAGCTAAAGTTGCAATCACATAAGAGCAGTAAAGTAAAGTTCACAAAACTTGTTGTGAATGGCCTCAAGGCCTCACATTATGTTGAACTACTCATGCAGACTCTTCGCTATTTACATATAGGAGCTCATAGAACACTAGTCATGAAAACAATTTATGCTTACAAAGCTGTGACAGTTCCACAAAAACATATTATGCAGATCTTATAACATCATCAGGTGTCATGCAGCAAACAATTACCCTAGTATTGAAATGGTCTACTAAAACTGTATAATATTTAATCAACATTTTAATTTTATGAAACTCAGGCATAAAAATATCTTGCAAAAATAAGTAAAAACACGTAACTTCAAACTTAACAAAAGACTGGTTAAACAGACAGTTAATATACAGCATGCCATCTCAAGGACTAGTTAAATTAAAACTATTTTAAAAGGCCTGGAACAAGTTACTCAATTACCCAGTATCATTAATGAAACTTTTTTGATTGGTTAGCAGTGGATAATTAACTTTCAGAACCAAATACTTAACTTAGACAGCATCTGACATTTTTTTTTCCTTGTTTTACTTTCATTGTAATAAGTAAAGGTTTCATAATACAAAAATAACTCGGATAACATTGAACAATATCTCGGTGTCAGGCAAATAGTTTAAATTGTCTTCCTAATTAAAGTTTCTACTAGCTACTGAGTGCCTTTTCATCCTCTCGTCACAGGCAGTAAAAGTTCAAGTAATACTAATAATGGACTGAAATTTTCACCGGAACTGCTTGCAGACCTTGTTAAATGATCATCTTGCATCTTCTAATAGAAATTTTATTGCCTTGGTAAGGCAAATTCTTAGATCAACTCTAAATTTTCGAATTTGATCACTGAATAAAAGCGCTGAAGACTCATTTGTACAGGGTAAGCCTAGACTTAAGGTAAAATATTCACAAATACTGGCGAGAAGGTGACTAAATTTGAGTTTAAAACAATAACAAAGTTGAAAACAGGTCTTAATTCTTCTGATTGGAATTCATGAATATAATTACCTTAGGTTGAGGCTAAACCTGTATAGTCTTCGGTGCTTCTATATTCAACGGCCGCGACAAATTCGAAAGTGGACAATAATAAGGGAAAATAACCAACATGACACCAAGAAGTGGGTTGTAAAAAGAGGCAGCAGCCTATCAGCTTTTCAAGACTACCCTTGAGATGTCTGGATATTGGATGAAACACTGAGTGGAGTAGTTTACCATAAAGCTTCTCAAATGAAACATACTGGTAAATCTTGAAGAAATTCAAAGCTAAAGTTTGCAAAATTTTAGGGTATCGAAACCATGTCATGGTAGTGATTTCCTCTCTTTCTTTTAATACATAAAAATTACTAAGGGGTGTGTGGAAAACAAATCCACATTTGATTTAGCTGAAATTAAAGCAAGACCCTCACCGTTATCTCAACTGCCTGCAGGTAGCAGGAAATTAATTCTACTACATAAACCTTAACTTGCCCTTCCTAAAATATGCTGAATTTGATTGATATTGTTTTGATGTTACAAGTACATTGTATTTTTAGTATTTCAAGTACTATATCCAATACACAGTAACATCTCTTCAGTCAAACCACTGAAAAATGGATATATTCTTATTTTCAACTGCCCATTAAAACTTTGCTAGCATTAAGTGATGAATCTCCTACACAAAAAGTATAACATTGATGCACAGTACATTGTATGGCCCTGTCCTCTCACAGGCGGCCCAAGCGCAATATGTGTGGGTTCGGGCTTCAGAGGTCATTTGGTCGGAATATACTAGAATTATTAGTAAAATTATTATCTGACGCTAAATAAACGCAAAAATCTTAAAGATATGAAGTCTTCTTGTTTATCTATCTGTACTAGTAGCCTTTAAGATAACGAAGGTCGATATTTCTTGCATTATTACACTGAACACTTCTTTTATAGTGTTCAGTACTCGATGGAAAGAAAGTCAACTAAACGGCGTTTAAACCGGCCGTAGGACACAAAGTGGCTATGAACTAAAGGTAAGGGAGCTTTTTGAATCAATATTTCGCGTGATCATGATTTTTTTCTTAGCGTTGTAGCTTCGAATACATGTGATAAAATTCAAACAATAAGGGCCCGAATCACATGTAATAATGCAAGAAATATCGACCTTCGTTATCTTAAAGGCTACTAGTACAGATAGATAAACAAGAAGACTTCATATCTTTAAGATTTTTGCGTTTATTTAGCATCAGATAATATACTAATAATTCTAGTATATTCCGACCAAATGACCTCTGAAGCCCGAACCCACACATAGTGCGGTTGGGTCGCCTGTGGTCCTCTAAGCCTCGAACTGACATGTTTGCTACATCTGCTACATCACAGATCACGCATCGATCTACATAAGGTGGGAGCTATATTTACAGCCACACATATCCAGCCTGGCTATTTAGAAACTTAATGGCAATGATATTAATAAGTAATGTATTTTTCTGAAACATACATGTACATGTAGTAATCAAAAAGGCCATATAAAAAGTGAAGTATTTTTTGTAAAGACGTCTAGACATGCAATTAACGGTCTCACTGTAAAGTGCGATGTTTAGCATGTCTGTCTTTAAATCACTGATACTAGAAATCATACTACTAGATGGTTTAAACAACTGAGATTACCAAGACATCTGTACAGTGTATCCAACAGATGCACACATTAATTTCAATGCTTTATTTTTTCTGCAGATGTCGACATATCTGTCTGATGTGTATTTACAGAAACTGGCATGACCACAATTACATTAAGTATCTGACTGATTATAAACACATGTTTGCTACAATTCTATATATCAATGCTGACGTCAGTACAAAAATTACCAATCCTCACAAAGATGCCATGAAGCTCTCAGAATGAGCTGTTCTAATTGGGTAAAGAAACAATAGATGAATGAGCCAAACAATGCCCACTAGCCCTAAAAACATGACAATAGGTTTGGTTTTGAAGGCCAATGATAATAAGGTTTCTGAGAGCTTCTGGCTACGTCACAGAGATGATGGGAACACATTTCTACTGGTAACTAGGTGTCTATAAGGAATAACTTTAAACAGTCTTAAAGCCCAAATTGTGCTACATAACCCTTTTCTGCCTTTGTATTGTGGTCTAACTCAGGTATAACAAGTAACAGGTTTTATATCAAAAAACAAAACACCTAATAAGACGTGAGCTCCATGTGCAACAGCGGAATGCAGTTTTAGGGGCAGTTTTAGGTAGGTTTTACTACTTTTAAATGAACACAAATGTACTTTTTTAGCGCCGAAGCTTTACTTCATCACCAGTCAGGTGGAGAGAAGTGAACACTTCGTATACTCACAGATATAAACTCCAAAGACATGAACTGC